CGCCCTCCCCGCGGCCTCCACCGCCCAGCAGCACCTGTGCCCGCGGGCGCGCGGCGGGGCTCCCCGCGTTCTCCCGCCTCGGCTGCACCCTCTTCTCCCCCCCACCCCGCCCGCCCTTCCGACCTCTCGGCTCAGGTTCCCCACCCCAAACCTGTCACCAGCCCCGACCGGTGGGAAAAGGAGCGGGGCGCGACGCCCTCTGCCAGGCGCGCACCTGTCATCTTGGCTGCTCCGGAAGCGGGGGGGGGGGGGTGGCTAACTCAGGATCTGAAGGATCGTGGTTCGAAGCTAGTCCGGGCTGGAAAAGTCCGGGAGACTCTTCTCTACAATGAAGCACCTAAAAATGCTGCAAGTGGAGGTGTGGCTCAAGTGGTAGGATGCCAGCGTCGAGCAGAAAAAAAGCTAAGGGGGGACAGCACCCAGGCTCTGAGTTCAAGCCCCAGGACCCGCGAACACCACCCCACACATCGTAACGCCCTTCTGTTCAAGCTCCATGCTGTGTTCCCGTGATTCTTGGGGCTCTTGATCAACCCACCCTTTTCTGTTTCTCCCTCGACCAGTAATAATTCAGTATGTCCCATGCTATGCCCATTCTTATTTAAGTCCTCACAGCAGTACTAAGAGACTATTTTTGTTTTGCAGTTGCCAGACTTGGATATATTAGTGGCTGGCTCATGATTAGGAAAGTGGAGAAGCCTCTATGAACCCAGTGCCAGCCTCCAGATGCTAAGTCCTTGATGACTTAAATAGCAATCTAAATCCATCTCCTCTCTAATCTCACATGCCCTCCTAATTATCCGTCTCTCCTCTTTCCCAGCCAGACTTCTGGAAGAAGATAGTTTGTGCCCACTCTGTCTCCCTTGACCACCTCATGACCACCCAGTGCCCTGCTGGAATTTCTGCCCTAGCATTCTGGGAAGAGTGTTCTGACTAGGGTTACCAGGGGCAGACTCAGAGTCTTAGCTGCTGTTTCCATCCTCGAATTCTGTAGTTTTGGCCCCAGGGATTGCTGGAGTTGGAGGCCCCTCCCTCACCCCAACTTGTCTTCTTTCCCTTTCCAGATATGATGGTGTTATCAGGGTTATCTGCATTTCTTCCTGTGGGAATTTAGTCTCTGTCCTGTGACTGGTTCCTGTATGTGTTGGTGCCTTCCTGATTGACACAATCTGTATTGGCCTTCATCTTGAGAATTGGATAAAAGCTCCAACCCACCCCTTGCTGGAAACCACTTAGCCTGTGGACAGGACCAGAAGATACCCATGTCCTTGAGATTTTCCATATTTTTCCTTCCTTCCTTTCTTCCTTCCCTTCTTTCTTCTTCCTTTCTCTTTTCTTCTCTCTCTTTCTCTCTTTCTTCTGATCCTGGGCACTGTCCTTGAGCTGCTTTTTTTTTTTTTGAGTTGTTTATTGGAGATAAGAATCTCATGGACTTTCCTACCAGGGCTGGCTTTGAACCACAATCCTCAGATCTCAGCCTCCTGAGTAGCTAGGATTACAGGCATGAGCCACCAATGCCTGGCAACCCTTATGGGTTTTTGTGGTTAATTGGAGATAAGATTCTCACAGACTTTTCCTGCCCAGGCTGACTTCCAACTGAGAACCACAAATCTCAGCCTCCTGAGTAGCTAGGGTTACAGGCATGAGCCACCAATGCCTAGCAAGTTTTCCATATTCTTATGGAAAACACAGTTTTAGTCACCAGATCATAATAACCCCCAGGACTGGTATGCGTGAACACACAGTGTTTATCTGTTTATCTTCATATGTGAGATTGAGAGCAGTGGTTGCAGTAGCTTGGACCTTGTCCAGTGTGCCCATCAAGGCTGCTGGGGCCTGGAGAGCCAGGTGTGGACAAGGTGTTAGGGGCATCTGTTTGGAAAGCAGCGAGTGCTGGGTGTGCAGAGCTTGGCTGCGCTGCTCTAAGTGGAGAACAGAAGCCTCTGCAGCCAGCGCCTGAGCACACACAGGACACTTTGCCTGTGTTTCACATCAACTGAAGAGAATGGAATTTTTTTCATTCAAGAATCTTGCTACAGCTGGGCGCCAGTGGCTCAGGATGCTGAGGGTCATGGTTTGAGGCCAGCCCAGACAGGAAAGACGGTGGGACTTTTATTTCCAATTAGCCAGCAGATGCCTGAAATGGGTGTGTATGTAGCACAAGTGGTAGAGCACCAGCCTTGAATGAAAGAGCTCAGGGACAGAACCCTGGCCCTGAGTTCAAGCGCCGGTACCCACGTGTACAGGCACAAGAATCTTGCTACAGTTGCTAGCCCCTGTCTCACACTGTATCTATCAGGTGAGGGGTTAAATGTTAAACAAGCAGTGACAGTTGGCAACTTTGGGCTACAGGTCAGTGTTGTGGCGTGGGATGCCATGTTTGTAAATGGCTCTTGTCTGATGTGGAAAGTCCCTAGCCATGGCCCCTGCCGCAAGGCGGGCATTGCTGGTGTCAGCAGTGCACACATGGTTCTTCCAAGTCTGACAATTTTCCAGGAGGATTCTATCTCAGGTTCACTTTCTAGGGCATCTCATGCCAAGAACTTGTAACACTAACAGAAACCAAGAGCTTTGCGTCTCTCCTGGGCCCCTGTCCCTCCCCAGTTCTGCCTTATTGCTGCCCTATTTATTGTTTTGTTGTTGTTGTTTTGGTCAGTCATGGGGCTTAAACTCAGAGCCTGGCACTGTCCCTGAGCCCTTTTGCTCAAGGCCAGTACTCTACTACTTTGAGCCACAGCACCACTTCTGGTTTTCTGGTGGTCCATTGGAGCTGAGTCTCAGAGACTTTCCTGTCCAGGCTGGCTTCCAGCCCTGATCCTCAGATATCAGCCTCCTGAGCCACCAGCACCTGACCTCATTCTGTTTCTAAACCATTGACTTGACTATTAAGTGGCATTCAGAAGTCTGGTTGTGACAAAGTCCAAGCTGATCCACACTCTTAAGTGCTACACAGTTCGTGTCTTCTTCACGCCTTCATTTTGGTAAAGGTTCCGTCTTTCCCTTCTCTGCACATAGTTTGCTTTTTAGGCAGGATCTGCCTTTCCCATCAGGGCTCAGCCTTGGGCCCCTTTCTGGTGCCGCTTGGCTGATTTCCCCGGCTGGTACCTCACAATCGTCCCTCTCCTTAGGGCACTTGTGGAGTTCCGTTCCCCAGTTTTTCTTTCTTAGACACATCTTTATCGAGGTGATACTGATGAGATTCATGTCTCTTCTTTCCATGTGCAAAGTTAATGTAGGTTGCTGTTTCATGCTTTCATATTTAGGATTTATTCCTTTTTGCATTGCTGATGTTACTACCAGTTCATATAAAGTTGATGGCTGTCAAGTTAGCTTTGTCTAAGGAACTTAACGAACTTTATTTCTCTAATAGCAGGGTTTCTAGTTAAACTCTGCAAGCCCTGTTTTCCCTTATTTAAAATGCTACTGGGAGAGCGTGGCTTGCTAGGGAAGCGCCAAACCTCTGGCTCCAAGCCAGGACCCGCATTTGTTTTGCTTCTCTAAAGGCTTGGTCTCCTCTCCTTAGCCTTCCAGAGCTGAGTGTGGTGTCTTGACCTTGTGTTCCTTTTGTCCCAATACCTGGTGCTGTCAACAGAGTAATGTCTGTTCAGTAGTGAATGTGCATGTGTGGTTTCCCCGCCCCCCTCCCCCAGTCCCCAACCCCCAGGACTGCCATTCTTACCTAGGGAGGTTGTAGTCTGGGAAATATGGTCAGATACGATTACAATTAGAGTATAGTTTGGGAATATAACTTTTCTTACACCTCAGCATGGGAGAAAAGAAAGCCCTTTGTGTTAGAAAGTAAAATGCTCTTGATTCGCATTGTTGTTTTTAAATTGCTATTTAATTTTTTTATGTCTTCTTTTTTTCTAGCCATCAAAAATAAGGATTAATTTAGAAGACAATGTACAGTATGTGTCCATGAGAAGTAAGTTGATTACCAAATAGGTTTTAGGTTTTGTAGTCTGAACTTCCTACAGTTAAAAGCCCTACATTCTGGGCATCAGGTGCCGATGGCTCACACCTGTAATCCTAGCTATTCAGGAGGCTGAGATCTGAGGATGGCAGTTCAAAGCCAGCCTGGGTAAGAAAGTCTGTGAGATTTATTGCCAGTAAACTACTCAGAGAAAGCCAGAGCTGGCTTTCTAGCTATGGCTCAAGTGGTACAGTGCTAACCTTGAGCAAAAGAAGCTCAGGGACAGCTCCCAAGCCCTTAGTTCAAGCCCCAGGACTGGCACCCAAAGGGGGAAAAATGGATCTGTTATGAATTCCCTATGATCTTACTGATAGACTCTAGAAGAGTCTATGAGAAGCTGGAAGGAGGGGGGATGGAGTGGCAGGGAAAGGGTGGTGTAGGCTGAAGTCTCACTTGGACAGCAGGTAGAGTTTCTGTGTTCTGTTGCGTAGCATGGAGACTTGCAAATGGGTTATTTCCAAATAGCTGAAAGATGGGATTTGACTTGTTCATACAAAGGAAGGATAGGTATTTGGTGTCACAGAGTTGCTAATTAGCCTGATTAGATTCCATGTAAACATCTATTTAAATATCACATATATAGAAGAAGTAGATAGCATTGCTTCTTGTCAAAAGGAAAGATACATGTATAAGAATTTTTCCTATAATTCTTCTTGGGCGAGGAATTCCTGGTTGCTGCCACTAGAATTGAGGGTAGCTGGGCTGTGAACGTGAGGTCCGCCCCTGCCTGCCTGGTTTCTTGGGGTTCCCCCACCCTCCTGACCGGACATGCCCCGCCTTGGGGAACATTTATGGTGCTGGGAGAGCTTTGTGATAGATCCCCCCTCCGATTTCCTGTTAAGTTGATTCTCATTTTTATCAATTTTTAGTGCAGAGATGACCAGATATAAATCACAAATCAGTTTTCCCTTGGCTGCTGCCTCAGTTCCCCTGTAGTTGGTCACCAAGTTTGGTTACCTTTCCCTTTGAGGTGTTTCCTTCATCTCACCCATGCCACCGAGTTACAGTGATAGCCACCATCTACTGCTCTCATACAGTGTTTGGCAGTGAGTTAACATTTTTGCATGAATTACTGCAACAGCGCTTCATAATAAGATTGTGGATTGTGATCGTCTTTATAATCGAGCAAACTGGGACCAGAGAGGTTAAGAAATTGCTCAAAGTCAGAGTCAGGTTCTGCTCCCTCTGCCTGGACATTGCACAGTCCTGACCCTGTGTTAGACAGCTGCTCCCAGGCCAGGGTCTGACTTCCAAGCTGGGGTAGTGGGGTCGTGGGGTCCTTTTCTTCTATGTGGGCTCCCCTGCTTCCCATCATCCTGCCAGTGTGATTTTCCCAGTACACGCATGGGATTTTTATTATGCATCCTAAGTTCTTTAGGAAGCCCTGAGTCCTCAGACATGGATTTATTTAGAAGCATTCTCTACAAGGTGGTGGAGAAGGAGTACACAGACAAGACCTTGAAGTCTGGTCTTGCTCACCGGCAGCCTCACTTCAGGGCTCTGCTGCCCTCTTCCCTTAGTGACCCTACACCATGCGCGGGTTCCTAGGCGCACCATGTTTTTAGTGTCGCTTTGTCTTCTGCTTGCTGCGTGTCAGATTGGGAAAGCAGCCTTTATGTGAGAAGGAGCCTTATACTCCATGCAGAACTGAGTGCAGCAGCTCAGCATGCTAGCATCCCTTAAAATACTCCACGCAGCACCACATACTGAAATTTACTTCAAGGGAAGAATTAAGGGTATATAGGATAATTTTGTAGTAAAGAAATTCATTGAATTACAGTGCAAAATAGCAAAGTTGAGACAGTCTGAGTTTCTAGTATTAACCTGAGCAAAGACTCTGAGATGTTAAATATGCAGCCACATGTTTACAGTATTAAAAGAATATAATACAAGCCAGGCACTGGTAGCTCATGCCTGTAATCCTAGCTACTCAGGAGGCTGAGATTGGAGGATCTCCACTCAAAGCCAGCTTGGGCAGGAAAGCCCGCGAGACTGTTATCTCCAGTTACCCAGCAAAAAGCTGGAAGCAGAGCTGATAAAGCATTGCCTTGAGCAAAAGAGCTGAGGGTCAGTGCTCAGACCCTGAGTGTAAGCTCTGTGCACACACACAAGAAAAAACATAATACAGAATGCTGTGTTCCTTTTTTTTTTTTCTTTTGCCAGTCCTGGGGCTTGAACTCAGGGTCTGGGCACTGTCCCTGAGCTTCTTTTGCTCAAGGCTAGCACTCTACCATTTGAGCCACAGTGTCACTTCCAGCTTTTTCTGTGTATGTGTTACTGAGGAATGGAACCCAAGGCTTCATGCATGCTAGGAAAGCACTCTACCTCTAAGCCACATTCCCAGCTCCTATTTTTTTTTGGGGGGGGGTCCGGTCGTGGGGCTTGAACTCTGAGCCTGGGCGCTGTCCCTCAGCTCTTCAGCTCAAGGCTAGCGCTCTACCACTTGAGCCACAGTGCCACTTCCGGCTTTTTTCTTTTTGCTTATGTGGTGCTGAGGAATCAAACCCAGGGCCTCAGGCATGCAAGGCAAGCGCTCTACTACTGAGCCACCTTCCCAGCCCCTCCTGTTTTTTTTTTTTTAAAGTCTATACAAAGCCAGCATGGTAGCCCACATCTGTATTTCCTGCACTGGAAATACTGAGACGGGAGGATTGTAAATGCCCGATCTGGGCTATATAAGAAGACACTGTATCAGGAAAACAAATTACATCTATAGCTTGGGGATGAGCTAATATGTGAAGCCTGGAGCCCAATTCTTAGCACACACACACACAAAGCTGCACCCCTAGTGACACACAGTGGGTGCTAGGATAGTGTGGGTGAACACCCCCACATCATTTGGAGGTGAGTGTTACCGCAAGTTGTTAATATGGGAATAGTAGTGAATGCTTTAATAATGTATTAAGCACTTTTCTTCAGATGTGTTGTAAGTGTGCTCATGGAAGATTAGTTTGGGCCTTCTCTGCTGAACTGCAGCATAGATTAAAAAAAAAAAAAAACAGTAAACACCAGTCCCAGCCAATACTTTCTAATGGATTCTTTAACACCAGTGGTAAAATGCAGTTTTTAAAATCATTCCTAGGGCTGGGAATGTGGCTTAGTGTTAGAGTGCTTGCCTAGCATGGAGGAATCCCTGGGTTTGATTCCTCAGTACCACATGAATAGAAAAAGCCGGAAGTAGCTCTGTGGCTCAAGTGGTAGAGTGCTAGCCTTGAGCAAAAGAAGCTCAGGGATAGTGCCCAGACCCTGAGTTCAAGCCCCAGGACTGGCAAAAAAAATTCCTCATTCTAGACCAGGGATGTACATACAAACATAAGCCTGCTTATGAGACAGTAGATTCACCTTTGTTTAGACCTAGGATAGGCCAGTACATTTTTTATCCAGGTAGAGAAATTTACTTCACAGGGGATTTCCATAGGCATTTATGTTTTCCAATCAGAAGAAGCAGTTGCTTAAAAGAAGTGAGAATGTTACTTAAAATTTTACAAATGTGTTTATTTTGTTTCCCAGAAGCGCTAAAAGTGAAGAGACCTCGTTTTGATGTTTCACTGGTTTATTTAACTCGAAAATTTATGGATCTTGTCAGATCTGCTCCTGGGGGCATTCTTGACCTAAACAAGGTTGCAACAAAACTGGGTGTGCGGAAACGAAGAGTGTACGACATCACCAATGTCTTAGATGGAATCGACCTGGTTGAAAAAAAATCGAAGAACCACATTCGGTGGATGTGAGTCGGTCTCATTGCTTTTCCCTGACCATTTCACCCTTGCCCAGATTAGCAATATTAAACAGTAAGATACAGTTCTTTTGTGTGTGTGTGCCGGTACTAGGACTTGAACTCGGGGACTCATGCTCTCTTTGCTTTTTTGTTCAAGTCTGGTACTCTACTACTTGAACTGGCAGCCTTTTGGTGGTTATAGAGTTAAAAGTCTCATGGACTTTGCTTTCTGGGCTGTCTTGGAACCAGGATCCTCACATCTTAGCATCCTGAATAGCGAGGAATAGAAGCCACCAGCATCCACCTAATTTTTGTTAGAAGAGAACTAAGAAAATGGAGATTTTTCTTTCATTGTCCCACAAAGGACTTAAATTGTCCTTGCTACTTAGGACCAGTAGGTGCCATAGACAGAATATCATTCTGATACAGAAAAGTTAGATGGAATAAAATAATTACATTTAAATTTTTGTTTTTCAAGATGATAAGAAGAAAACATCTGGGGATTGGAAGGTGGCTCAGTGGTAGAGTGCTTGCCTCACATGCATGAGGCCCTGGGTTTGATTCCTCAGCAACACATACACAGAAAAAAGCCAGAAGTGGCACCGTGGCTCAAGTGGTAGAGTGCTAGCTGAAGAGCTGAGGGACAGCACCCAGGCCTAGAGTTCAAGCCCCATGACCAAAAAATATATATATATAATTACATAGAACAATTTTAAAGTCCTTCTTTAGTGGTTGATACAGAGGAAATCTGTGAAAGTTGAAAGCTCATTCTCTCAGGCACAGTGTAGTAAACACCTAGAACTCCTTCCCCATGGGGAATTTAGGATCTTGACGACAGAGCAGAAATCTGCATTCACAGCAAGTACCCTGAGTGACTGTGACACTGTTGGGCTCTGGACGTCACTTTGGAACACATTACCCTGAGTATAAAGAGAAAACTCAGACAGCCAGGTGCTAGCGCCTGACACCTGTAATCCTAGTTACTTAGGAGGCATAGTTCTAAGCCAGCCTGAGCAGGAAAAGTGTGTGAGACTTTTTTTTTTTTTTTTTTTTGCCAGTCCTGGGTCTTGAACTCAGGGCCTGGCCACTCTCCCTGGGCTGCTTTTGCTCAAGGCTAGCACTCTACCACTTGAGCCACAGCATCACTTCCAGCTTTTTCTGTTTTATGTGGTACTGAGGACTCGAACCCGGGGCTTCATGCACCTCCTCAGCCCGTCTGTGAGACTTTTGTCACCATTTAACCACCAAAAAACCAGAGGTGGGCTTGCTGCTCAGATGGTGGAGTGTTGGCCTTGAGCAAATCAGAAGCCCAGGGACAGTGCCCAGACCTTGAGAGCCCAGAACTGGCACCAAAAAAATGAAATAAAAAAGGAAGACGGTGGCTAAGGAGCCAGCCTGACTGAGAAGGATCCCAGAGGAAGAGGCCCAAAGGTTGAGGCCTGAGTAGACATGCAGCAGCCCGATATTTAGAATCAGGAAGAAGCAGTTCTGGCATCCAGTGTTTTTCAGGCAGGTGAAAACCCAAAGATCATACAGTAAATGAGTATTAAAGGAAAGCATCCATAAAGAGATCACTTTTTTCATTGTACAGATACAAGCCAGGTCTGCTATGGACATGTTTGCTTGGGGGTTCATCTCAGCACTCTGAAACACTAGCCGCTTGACTGCGGCAGAGGAAGTACAAGGAGCTGCGTTCTGTTTATTATGCATAAACACTGAAAGAAAGTGCACAGTGGTTATTCTCAGTCATAGGATGGAGTAGCCACTAATAATGAAGGAATAGATCTTTAAAGAGCAGTAGCTGACAGGCGCTGGTGGCTTGTACCTGTGATCCTGTAATCCTACCTACTCAGCAGGCTAAGACCTGATTCCAAGCCAGCCAAGGCAGGAGAGCCCAGGAGACTTCCAACCAGCAAAAAAGCCAGAAGTGAAGCTGAGCACCAGCCTTGAGCAGAAAACCTAAGGAACAGCATCTGGGCCTGAGTGCAAGCTTCAGTAGCTTTAAAAAAAAAATTGCCTAAAATATTACATCCAGATAGACTGTGTACATTATAGCCATCACGCCTTGTTTTCATATGTAGAATTGTAATTATTCTCCATCTCCGAGCTGTTATTAATGGTGGGTTTCCGTGCTTGTTTTGTTCTTCTAAAGAGGGTCTGACCTTAACAACTTTGGAGCAGTGCCCCAACAAAAGAAGCTGCAGGAGGAGCTTTCCAACCTGTCCGCCATGGAAGATGCGTTGGATGAGTTAATCAAGGACTGTGCTCAGCAGTTGTTTGAGTTAACCGACGACAAGGAAAATGAGCGATATCCTTTAAGTTGGAGCCTTTAGAAAATGTCTGCTTCCAAAGCAGATTCTGTAGTAGGGTAGCTTAGGGATTTAATTTCCATACTTCAGCAAGGAAAGTTTTGTGGTGTGGCCTCCACAGCCCATTTTTGCCTAAAGGTGTTTTGTGGGATGACCCCAGCTGTTCACTGACACTCTCAGGCTGACATCGCACTGTTGATAATTCTTTCTTTGTTGGTCATGGGGTGTGAACTCAGAGCTCGGGTGTCTCTGAGGTTTTTTTTTCTTTTTTTGAGGGGGGGGTCCGGTCATGGGGCCTGAACTCTGAGCCTGGGCACTGTCCCTCAGCTCTTCAGCTCAAGGCTAGCACTCTACCACTTGAGCCACAGCGCCACTCCCAGCTTTTTTCTTTTTGTTTATGTGGTGCTGAGGAATCGAACCCAGGGCCTCATGCATACAAGGCAAGCGCTCTACCACTGAGCCACCTTCCCAGCCCCTCTCTGAGGTTTTTTGCTCAAGGCTAGTAGTGCTCTACACTAGGAGCCTCAGCACCACTTCCAGTTTTCTAGTGGAGATAAGAGCTCATGGACTTTCCTGCCCGGGTGGCTTTGAACTGCAATCCTCAGATCTCAGCCTCCTGAGTAGCTAGGATTACAGGCGTGAGCCACCTGTGCCCGGCTTTCTATTTCGTTTTATTATTTACTGTGCTTATTAACTACTTATTATGTCTAATTGTGTGTGTATATGTATATGTTTGCATGCATATGTGCATGTTGCCAGTCACGGGGTTTGAACTCAGAGCCTAGGTGCTATTCTTGAGCTTTTGTGCACAAGGCTAATGCCATAGCTCCACTTCTGATTTTTTGGTGCTTAATTGGAGATAAAGAGTCTTTTTTTTTTTTTGCCAGTCACGGGGCCTGAACTCTGGGCCTGAACGCTGTCCCTCATTTCTTCAGCTTAAGGCTAGTGCTCTACCACTTGAGCCACCGTGCCACTTCCGGCTTTTTCTGCTTATGGGGTGCTGAGGAATCGAACCCAGAGCCTCATGCATGCAATGCAAGCACTCTACCACTGAGCCACCTTCCCAGTCCCAAAATAAAGAGTCTTATGGTCTTTTCTTGCCCAGGTTGGCTTAAAATCACAGTCCTCAGATCTCAGCCTCCTGAGTGGGATCACAGGTGTGACTCACCAGGGCTGGGCTGCACCTGATTTCTAAAGAAGACGCTGCCATAGGTGCCAGTGCATAGAAAGCGCATCGTGTCTACGGTGTATTATGGGGTTTTAGGCACCAACCGGTCCTATAGCATCCTGCAAAAAAACCTGGGGATGACCGCACCTTTATGACTTCTGTTTGTATTAGGGACTTTATTTTCTCCAAAAATTGTCATAATCCCAGTAGTTCATTTAACGTCCTCTTAATGTTTATAAAACACTGTAAAATCTTAGCATCATATCAGAAATAATAAAGCTATGGAAGATTATTTTGTAACTACTTTCCTCAATTGTGAGTTTGTATACCCTAAAAGCTAAAGCTGCTCTTAACACCTGCCTTTGTATGTACACAATAAATTAGCTGCCCAGTACCTGCGCTCTGCTTAGAGTCCTTGACTGTGTCTCACGCTGGCCTACGTCACCTACCAGGACATTCACAACATCCAGGCCTTCCACGAGCAGATTGTCATCGCAGTGAAGGCACCCGAGGAGACCAGGCTGGATGTGCCAGCTCCCAGAGAAGTAGGTCGCCCTGCATTTCAGCCAGCATGCAAGAGGGAGGTGCGCTGAGGCGGGCTTATGTTGCTTACTTCCTGTATGTATGTTGCTTACTTCCTGTGTGTCTGACATAGGGAAGACTCTGATACATTTTCACTTGTTTTGACTAACCCAGAAAATGAAGTAGACATTGTAGCTTTTTAAGAGAAAAGCCAAGCACAGAAAGACACATTTGTTTCTTAAGACACATTTGTTTCTTAGCACAAAGTGACAGAACCAGATTCAAACATAAGCAATTTGGCTTCAGTTTTTTTCTTAGCCCTGGCCTTGGAACTCAGGGCCCTGGGTTTGCTAGGCAGGTTCTCTGCCACTTGAGACATACATTTGATCCTTTTTGCTTTAGTTATTTCTTTTTTTTTTTTTTTCTTTTGGTCGGTTGTAAGGCATGAACTCAGAGCCTAGGTTCTGTCCCTGGGCTCTCTTGCTCAGTAGTGATCATCTACCACTTTGAGATACAGCACCATTTCTGGTTTTCTGGTGGTTCATTGGAGCTAAGAGTCTCATAGACTTTCCTGTCAGGGCTGGCTTTGAACCGAGATCCTCAGATCTCTGCCTCCTGAGTTGCTAGGATGATAGGTGTGAGCCACCGCTCCTGGCTTTGTTTTTTCTTAAAGGTGGCCTGGACTACAGTTTGCCTAATTATATTTACCACAAATTGTGATGGTAGGCACACATTACCATGGCAACTGTATTTGTTGAAATGGGGCCTTGTGAACTTTTTTTTTTTGCCCAGGCTGGCCTCAAACTGAGATCCTCAAGATCTCTACTTCTTGGGTAACTAGAGGGGTATGTGGGAGAGGAGGGTAGCGCGCGCGCACGTGCGTGCGTGCGTGCGTGCGTGCGTGTGTGTGTGTGTCCACGTCCACCAATGCTAGGGCTTGAATGCAGGGTCTGAGTGCTGTCCTTGAGGTTTTTTTTTACTCAAGGCCTAGTCCTCTACCACTTGAGCCACTTCTGGCATTTGGGTGGTTAATTAGAATCACAGGCTTTCCTGCCGAGGCTGGCTTTGAACTTCCATCCTAAGACGTCAGCCTCAGCCGGGCGCCAGTGGCTCTCGCCTGTAATACTAGCTACTCAGGAGGCTGAGATCTGAGGATCGCAGTTCAAAGCCAGCCCAGGCAGGAGAGTTCATGAGACTCTTCAATAAACCACTAGAAAACCGGAAGTGGTGCTGTGGCTCAAGCGGTACAGCGCTCGCCTTGAGCTGAAGAGTATAAGGACAGTGCCCAAGCCCAAAATTCAATCCCCACGACAGACAAAAAAAAAAACTAAGACCTCAGCCTCCTGAGTAACTCGGATTACAGGTGTGAGTCACCAGTGCCCGCTGCCTCAATCTTTAATATCCAAAAGTACACTGCCGTTGTAAGAGAGGCTTTAGGGAATGGACTTCCTGTGTGATTTGGAAAGTAAACTTAAAATGAAAAAGCAAGATGTCTGCGTAAATGAGTATTTTTATCAGCTGCTAGCTGCTGGCACACACTTCCCCTGCAGGGAAGTTTGCATTGACAGTCCTCATCATCTGAAGCCGCTTGATGAGGACGGAGTCAGAACAAACGATCAAGTCCTGACAGCTCTGCCCTTGGCCAGTCCTCATTGCTGTAGGGAGGAATATCCTTGCCGTCCCCTTTTCCTCATCCCAGCATTCCGTTGTGGCTGTGCACGTGCAGCCCACGTGACCTGACCGCGGATCCAGACTCCATTTGGAGCTGCCTGCCCTCCCCTCAGTCACACGTCAGGACTGGTGGTGATGGCTCATAGTTGCTTTAGCTACTCTCCCAGTAACAGTAAAACTTTCGCGGATGCTGAAACGAGTGTGTGTGTCAGCGTTGGGCTTGAACTCAGGGCCTGGGCACTGTCCCTTAGTTTTTTCCAATCTAGTTTGGTGCTCTTCCCCTTCCCACTTTGTGCTGGTTAATTGGCGATGGGCGTCTCAGGACTTTCCTGCCAGGGTTGTTCTCTTGTTTCTGTGTTGTTTGTTTGGGTGGTATTGGGTGCTTGAACTCCAGGATTGGAGTTAGCCTTGAGCAAAAGAGCTGGCGTACCACACAGCTCCACTTCCCACTTTGTAGTGGTTAATTGGAGATAAGAATCGCCCAGCTTTTGCTACAGAGATGGACCTCATAGCTTGATCTTCGAGTGTCAGCCTCACAGCAAGCATTATAGATGTGAGCCACAGTACCCAGCAATGTCAAGACTTTGTATAAAAATAAATAAATCTTTTTTGGGTCATCATAAGCCACTCATTCTTCAGGAATGAGCACTGGCTTCCCAGTGCTGGAGCTGCTTCAGACAGTAATTGCTAAGTGTCGCTGAGCTCCTCCCTGAGTCAGGTGTGGAAGCCGTGCAGGTTGGGCCCTGCTGGCTGTGGGCCCGAGGCGTGAGCGTGCTGGGGTAGTGAAGTCCAGCTCCCCCAGATCTGGGAGAGGCTGGTGGACCTCAGGCAAGGTTGGCAAAGCGGCCTTTGGTTCAGATCCTGCTTCCTTCACACTGTAAGTGGATTGGGGGGGCCCGGGTCTGTGTGGTTGCCTCTGTCTGCCTTCAGAGTCAGTAGTTTGGGGCAGGGACAGTGCGGCCTGCAAAGCCAGAAACAGCTGCCACCACACCCTCGATGGATCAGGTGCCCCACCCCCAACCGGGAGCGGAAGTCCTCCACAACTCAGCGGCCACCTGCCTGGAGCCAGCCACCCACAGCAAGGGGGGCACGAGGCTGGGAGGCCCACTGAGGAGCCACGTCACCCAGCTCCAGCGGACGAGAGCCTGAGGGGCAGGGCGGAGGGCAGTGGGGTCTGCATCTGGCCTGGCCACGGGAAAGGGGAGAGGTGGGCCTGGGCAAGCTGAACCAGCCTCAGGGGAAAGGCCGCGAGCCTGCTTCAGACCGCGCATGCGCGCAGAGCTTTTGGTAGGAGCACCTCATTTCCCGAGTACTCACCGGAACGCGTAGAAATCCTTCCTGAGTGAGTGAGTGAAGCCAAGAGCTGTGACAGATCATAGAGAAGCGCCCTTCATAGTCTGTGTGTGTGTCTGAATGACATGAGGTATCTTTTTGATCTTCTTCTCTTAGTTCTTTTCAACCAGACCAAAAAAGCAGTCCTGGCCGGGCACTGGTGGTTCACACCTGTAAACATAGCTACTCAGGAGGCTGAGATCTGAGGATCACAGTTCAAAGCCAGCCTGGGCAGGAAAGTCCATGAGACTCTCCTATTGACCACCAGAAAACCAGAAGTGGTGCTGTGGCTCAAGTGGTAGAGCGCTCGCCTTGAGCTGAAGAGCTGAGGGACAGTGCCTAGGCCCAGAGTTCAAGCCCCACGACTGACCAAAAAAAAAAAAAAAACCAAAAAAAAAAAAATCAGTCCTTCTGTTAATCTCAGCACCTCCCCATTGGTTTAGAATGGAAATAGCCTGCATGTTAAAGCTCAGCGCTCCAGAGCTCTTTGTCATAAAGCACTGATGTTTGACTCTCAAGGGTGGACACTGTGGAGGTGTGTGTGTGTGCGCGCACGCGCGTGCTCACAGTGGCTCTGGAACCATGGCTGCCTGAATCGCTGAATTACTGACTGCTTCGCTGTTTACTGGACTTCCGTGTAGAAATGCTCGGTAAAGAGGAACCTGCTGGAATTGGCTCCTGAGGCCCCTGTGGTTTCAGGAAGTGACTGACGGGGGCAGCCAGGGCTCCGCTCATCTCGCAGTGTGTGTCCCTTGCAGGACTCCATCACGGTGCACATCCGAAGCACCAAGGGGCCCATTGACGTGTACCTCTGTGAGGTGGAGCAGACCCACCCGAAGGGCAAGACCTCCGATGGAGCCTCAGCCTCCTCCTCTAAGAGCAAACATCCAAAAGGTTCTGGGAAAGGTAAGTGTACCTTTTGTGCTTGCAGAAATGTAAGATTCTAGCAAGTTCTAAGTATTTAATAATATTAAAGCATATTATAACATTTAAGGTATTTCTTTGTGCTGGGCTTGGTGATGCACACCTGCAGTCCCAGCACTCTGGAGGCAGAGGCAGGAGGATCTCAGGTTGAAGGCCAGCCTAGACTACATAGTGAGTTCCAGTCTAGAATTGAGCTACATAGTGGGATTCTGTCTCAAAAGAAAGACCAACCTAACCAAAAGTTTATTCCTACTCTTCCTATGCACAATAACTTTAGGCTAAAAAAAAAAAAGGGCAAAGCCAGGAGCTGGTCTGTAATCCCAGCTACTTAAGAGGCTGAGAGCTGAGAATTGCAGCCAAGCCAGCCAAGGCAGGAAAGTCCATGAGACTCTTCATCTTAAGTTAACAACCAGAAGCAAAAGTGGAGCTGTGGGTCAAGGGGTAGAATGCTAGCCTTGAGCAAAAAAATCTAAAGGAAAAACAGAGTTTGCAGAATCAGTCTTAACTGTGGTGGTTTAGGATTTTCTGACTTTGTAGTTCAGTTTCACGTAGTTCTGATCACTGAAAACAGCACTGTAGTTGTCCTGCAATCAGGCCAGCAGGTGGGGGTGTCTGAGCAGGAAAGGTATCTGAGTTCCTTCCCAACTACAATTTGGATTTGCAGTTTATTCTTGAGACTGGAAACAGGAGCTTTCTGCCATTGCCATGCTAGGGTGGGGTTTTGTTTTGTTTGCTGATCCTTGGGCTTGAACTCTGGCTCTGTCCCTGAGCTTTGAAGGCTAGTACTCTACCACTTGAGCCACAGCTGCACTCTGGCTTTTTGGTAGTTAATTGGAGATAAGAGTCTCATGTGCTTTCTAGCCCTGGCAGTCTTTGAATTGAAGTCCTCAGATCACGATTAGATAGTAGATGAGATGACAGTGCCCGGCTGGAGTTACGGTTCTTCACTAAAATTCTTTTGATTGTCTGGCAATCCTAGGGTTTGAACTCTGCTTCATGCTTACTAGGCAGGCTGACTGCAGCTGGGCCACACTTCTTAACAGCTTTTTGCACTGGTTATTTGTGAGCTACGGTTATACTTGGTGCCTGGACTGTGATCCACCTATTTTACACTTTCCCTTGTAGCTGGGGTGACCGATATGCACCACAGCACCCAGCTACTGCTTGATTAGAGATCTCACATTTCCGCCTGACCACCCTCAAACTATGATCCTCCAGATCTCTGCCTTTCCAGCAGCTAGGAATGCTGTGCTAGGTCTTTTTTCTTTTTCTTCTTCTTCTTCTTTTTTTTTGAGAAGTTGAATTGCATGCTCGGTTACCTTCCTGCCTTTTGAGCCATCCCTTAGATTTTTTTTCTCTTCTGTGTCCTTTTTTCAGAAGAAAATCCTCAGTAAAGGAAGAGTCGCCTGAAGTGAGCAGTGGATGGCATTTGAGAAATGGATCGTGGTTCTCTAGAGCATCCCACACAGATGAATTATGCATCGGCATGATTCTCAGCAATAAATCACCCACGAAGTGCACTCCTTCGCACTCAGCAGGCAGCCGCATGAAGGGCAGGAGTGGCTTGGAGTGGCCTCCTTATTAGATGCCTGAAGTATTATGGTTTCTGCATTGGAAAGCAGCTCTTACAACTAAGTATTCACTGCTTATTGTCTGTGAACTAGACGCCTGGCCTCCTGAAATGACTTGATCACAGCACATGATCATGCCGGGCACGGACAGTTCCGAGTACACTCTGCCCTTCCCCGGAGGAGGCTGTGGTACGTCACAAAGGAAATTGCCTTACACTGGTTCACGTGTGCAGTGAAGTGTTGCCCACGCGTCTCAATGTGATGCCTTTGTAGATATCTGTATAATGTTCAGGTCACTGATGAATTATGTCTGAGTGGCGCTTTTACCCCTGTAAAGCTCAAATAATGTGTGTATGGAAAGTGACAGACGAGTGCTCTAGTTTCCTCTCTTTCTCTAACTTATTAGAATCCTCAGGACGAGGGTGACAGGAGAGCTTTTCCGAACTTCCACGTGGAGAAGTGTACTAGTACCTTTAAGTTCATGGATTTCATCCAGTATTTTAATGTGGCTCCCAGCGCTGAAATTGAGGTCCGATCCTTTGTGATTTCCAGATGCCTGAGAGTTACTGTGTCCCAGCCCTGCCACGGCCCGTGCCCGACACTTTTAGGGCCGATAGCAAAATGTCCCAAGGGAACAGATGAATTCACTGAATTTCAATCATGGTGCAGTTGGGCACTACGTGAAGCTTTTTGCCCACAGACTTTGGAATGTTTTTGTGTGCAGCCTCACTTGTCCCTCAGAGAGGTCCTCTTCCTGTGAATTGCCTCCTGCCCTCTGTCCAGCTCTAGTCCCAATTCTCCAAGCACCTAGCTCTTTCTACCTCAGTGGGTCAGTCATTTACCACTCTGTGCCTCAGTTTACTCAGTAGTTTACCATTAGACTGTGAGCTCCTTGAGAGACTTGGTTGCAATCATTGTTATATCAGCGCCTGGCTCGTGCCTGGCCGGAAACAGTGCTCAATAAATGTTTGACAAATCAGCACGTGAGTGATTGTAAAATGGGCCTCATCAAACTTGCCTTGTCTGTCACGCCGGATGCTTGTGAGCAGTATTTGAATTATTTTTTTTTAAAGACCTCTTGCTTTCTAAGAAAGATTTGCAACAGCTTGAAATTAAGGCCACCTAGAAAACGATTTTAAAAGGGAGCCACACTTAGAATGTTAGAAAATAACACCGTTTTGGGTTCTTTATCTGAGCGGTTGCAGCTTTTGTCCAGCCTGCCTTTGCTCTCTGCTGCCCCTACTGTCCTCTTCCTAGACGCCTGCCACTGCTGCTCGCCAGCGTCAGCTTCCAGGATTCTCCCTGTTTCATACAAAATTCGCTTGAGTCAGCCAAAGAGAACCTGCAGGGGGCGCCGTTGTCCCTCCCTGGACTAGTGGCAGGGTTGGACAGATTACTGGAGCAGCAGGTCAGTAAAAAGTAAGTTTGGACCCTGGTGATGAGCGGAGATCAGGTGCTCCTGGAGGGAGCGCTCAGGTCAGGCCATGGAGGGTGGTTTAATCCACAGCAGTGGGCGAAATCTTCTCATGAGAATACCCAGAAGAGGAGAGACCCCTGTAGGAACGAAAACAGGTAGTGTCCCCCAAACCAAAGCCCTAAGAAGCCCTGCCGCAGGTAAGCCACGCTTCCCAACTTGTGCCAGATGCACTATACGGCACACTATAGGGTAAAATGAAATTATGTCAGCAGCAATTGTGCAAACAGTATACATGAAATCGCTCCTCTACGCCATCTTTGGATGTTCAGTCTTGTGTTTCTTGATGGATGGCCGTGGGTAGTTCCTCAGCCCATCCTCCTCTCCCCCCCCTTCGTGTGTGCACTGCTAATTTCATGTCTACTTCTGGTGATTGGGGCAACCTTCCAAGGGAGCAGTCTAAAGGGTGGCTTGAGGCCAGATACTGGTGGCTCACCCCTGTAATCCTAGTTACTCAGGAAGCTGAAATCTGAGGATTGAGGATCATAGTTCAAAGCCCACCAGGGCAGGAAAGCCCATGAGACTTTATTTCCAATGTGCCACCAGAAAACTGGAAGTGGCACTGTGGCTCAAGTGGTAGAGCACTCACCTTGAGCTGAAGCTGAGGGACTGCCCAGGCCCAGAGTTCAAGCCCCATGACCACCACCACCAACAACAACAAAAAGAACAACCTCACATAACACCAGTGTTTAAGCCTTTGGCACACCGGAAACTCCATTGATTATGATTGGCAAAATTGAACCATTTAGGCCACTCAATGAATTGTCTGGGGCTGGGAAGGTGGCTCAGTGGTAGAGCGCTTGTCTTGCATGCATGAGGCCCTGGGTTTGATTCCTCAGCACCACATAAGCAGAAAAAGCCAGAAGTGGTGCTGTGGCTCAATTGTTAGGGTACTAGCCTTGAGCTGAAGAGCAGCTGAGGGACAGCGCCCAGGCCCAGAGTTCAAGCCCCATGACTGACAAAAAAAAAATGTTTAAAAAGTCTGAATCTGTTTGCTACTAATATGATGGAAAAATAACACAAATTTGTGTAATGATTGTCATCTAGTGGAGCACTACTTCTTCAAATTTCTTTATTCGCTGTCCATTAAGTAAGTCGTCACTACTAGAGAAGACCATGGACTTGAAGAGACATTCTCAGATCCTATTCTTAGGCTAGGAAGGTGGCTCAGTGGTAGAGCGCTTGCCTTGCATGCATGAGGTCCAGAGTTTGATTCCTCAGCACCATATAAGCAGAAGAAGCCGAAAGTGGCGCTATAGCTTCAAGTGGTAGAGCACTAACCTTGAGCTGAAGATTTGAGGGACAGCGCCAAGGCCCGGAGCTCAGGCCCCACAACTGACCAAAAAAAATCCTATTCTTGTTGATAAAGTGAATTCACAATTTTCAGGTATTAAAGACTAAGTGAAGTAACTTGGCAGGAAGGAAGTTGCCTCTGTTAGGAAAGCAGATACTGCTGTGGACGCTTGGATTTTCACTGTTTTTGTTTTTGTCAGGTGGCTGGGCACTGTCCCTGAGCTCTTTTGTTCAAAGCTAGCACTCTAACACTTTGAGCCACAGCTCTGCTTCCCAGTTTTCCGATGCCTAATTGGAGATAAAGAGTCTTAGAAACTTTCCTGCCCACGCTGGCTTTGAACCGCAATCCTCAGATCTCAGTCTCCTGAGTAGCTAGGATTCCAGGCGTGAGCCACCAGCGCCCGGTGATCTTCACTACCTCGATGGCCCTTGGAACATCTACCCTGGTGTGTGACATTGGGTCTGTCAGTCAGAAAGTAGCAAAGATAGCCGGGCGCCGGTGGCTCATGCCTGTAAATCCTAGCTACTCAGGAGTCGGAGATCTGAGGATCAAGGTTCAAAGCCAGCCCAGGCAGGAAAGTCTGAGACTCTTATCTCCAATAAACCAATAGAAAACAGGAAGTGGCAGTGTGGCTCAAGTGGTAGAGCGCTTGCCTTGAGCTGAAGAGCTGAGGGACAGCGCCCAGGCCCAGAGTTCAAGCCCCACGACTGACAAAAAAAAAACCAAAAAGCAAAGACCTTAGATGTATTAGTATGACAGTGAGGTCCTTTGAGAGAAACCATGGCAGGTATTACAACAGATGCATAATGAATAACTCAGCTACAGTAGCAAAGAGTAGACCTTGACATAACACCTTAATACCATCCCTAGGAGAAGCTGAGTCAGGAGTGGTCCACACACCACTGGCACATAGACCATAGAAAGAGAAGCTACAGAAGTGCTAGGAAAGGAGACACCCCCCTTTAGCCCCCCCACCCTAACACCACATGGCTGATCAAACCTTGGGTGGAATGGAAGAATCTCCTGGCAGCACCGGGATCTGCTGGGAGACTGGATGCTAGCTGTGGCTGACGTGCGGCTGGATGTTGACAGGAGCTGGGAGGAGGAAGGCCTTGTGTCCTCCCGCCTGCCTTCCATTCCTATTTATTGTCTGCTGGTTCCAGAGGCTCGCGACAGCAAGGAAAGTTGTTCCTGCCCCTATTCCCCTGAGAATAAGGTTTGCAGATCCCGGCCCTAGGGTTATAGGACAGAAAGAAGGGTGAGCTAGGGTGAGCAACAGAGACTCCCGCTGACCCGCACACCTGCCCCCCCCCCCCGCCACACAGAGATGGCCCTGCGGTGTGGCAGTTCTGCTCTTAGACATTAGACCCAGCTTTCAAATGGAAATTGTTCATCTAGTCGGATGCTGGTGGCTCACGCCTGTCATCCTAGCTGCTCAGGAGGCTGAGATCTGAGGATCTTGGTTCAAAGCCAGCCCAGGCAGGAAAGTCCATGAGATTCTTTAATTCATCACAGAAAAGGCCAGAAGTGGTGCTGTGCCCCTAGAGCACGAGCCTGGAGCAAAAGGAGCTCAGAGGCAGCGCCTAGGCCCTGAGTTCAAACCCCAGGACGAGGGAAAGAGATTGTTCATCTACATGGTAAAGTTCTTTGCAGTTCTCATTCTCCAGGATCTTGATTGTTAGGTACAAATTGACAACAGGATCTTAGTTCCTTGGAGATTTGGGCGCTGACAGTGTGTTTTGTCTCATGACCTGAGCTAATGAATGCGCACCAGCCACCTTTCTGATCTCTCCTTTGCTGTAACTAACAATCACTATAGGAGTGTGTAGCTTCTTCACTCCTGAGGACACAATTCTAGCTGAGTTGTGGTGGTGGTGGTTGTTTGTTATTACAGTGCCAGATCTGGGACTTGAACTTGGGGCCTTGGACTCTCACTTTTTACTCAAGGCTGTTACTTTTCCGCTTGAGCCACCCCTCTGCTTGTGGCTTTCTGGTGGTCAATTGGAGACGAGGCTGGCTGACTTTGACCTGCAATCCTCCGACCTCAGCCTCCTAAGTAGCTAGGATGACAGGCGTGAGCCACCGGTACCCTACTTTTACGTTGTGCTTTTTTTTTCAGCTCCCTTGCTGAGATTAAAGCACTTCCTATACTGTCTATGTATAGCCTGAAACTGCAGCCGAGGAGTTAAAACCCCAGGCAGCTTCAGCTGTCTTGCCGCCGTGACGTTTTGTGTGAAGAATGCAAGCACACTGGTCTTCAAGCCGGACGTGTTTCCATGCAACACCACACGCTCACAGAGGAAGTGGTTGTGTGGTTAAAAGCTGGGAAATCTTCCAAAGCATTTATTTTTTGCCAGTCTTGAGGATTGAACTCAGGGCCTGAGCACTGTCCCTGAGCTTCTTTGGCTCAAGGCTAGACCTCTACCACTTGAGCCACAGTGCCACTTCCGGCCTTTTCTGTGTATGTGGTGCTGAGGAATTGAACCCAGGGCTTCATGCATGCCAGGCAAGCACTCTACCACTAAGCCACATTCCCAGCCCTCCCAAGCACTCTTATAGAATTTCAGACATTAGCACCTATGGCGCTAAATAACCCACTTACTTGGTATCTCTTAGAATTCTAGATGTTCTCAAAGGCATCTGGGAATCTCAATAACTAAATGAAAACCTAAAGAACACAGCAAATATAAGTGATAGGGGGAAATGCTTTCCACATTTCATCCAAGGTACATAGAGTTTATTTTCTTTAAGTGTCCACTGTGATCAGTTTATTTGCAAATACAAGAGTTAAACCTCAGAACCTAAGTCTTACTAGTCATTTTGTTCTACTTTACTCCCCTCAGGAGTAAATACATCCCCTCTTAATGCCTGGCTGTTTCTTTTACATGAAAAGGAATAGCTAGGCTATAATCCTTATAGTAGCTATAGTAGTTTATGCTATAATCCTAGCTCAGGAGGCTAAGATCTGAGGATTGTGGTTTGAAGCCAGCCTGGGGGGGAAAAAAAAGTCTATAAGACTCATCTCTAACCAGCAAAAAGCCAGAAGTAGAGCTGTGGCTCAAATGATAAAGTATCAGCCTTGAGCAAAAGAAGCTAAGGACAATACCCTGAGTTCAAGCCCCAGGGCCATCACAAAAAGAACAGAAAAAGCTATTTTAATAATTGGAAATGGGCTGGGAATGTGGCTTAATGGTGGAGTGCTTGCCTAGCA